TCTCGACGAGAGCGGACCGGAGCGCGTCGTCGTCGGCGACGCGGCGCGCGACGGGCGCGAGCGCGCCGACGCCGTCGCGCGCGCGCGCGCCGTCGTCGGCGCCCGCGACGAGGAAATCGCGCGCGGCGAGGAGCGCGCCCGCCGCGACCGGCGCGTCGCGGTCGCCCTCCGCCGGCCGCCCGAAGAGGGGCCCCGGGTCGTCCAGCTCGAGCCCCACGATCCGCCCGAGCTCCAACCCGACCTCGACGCCGAGGTAGTCCAGCGCGTCCGCCAGGTCGTCCACCAGGTGATCCCGGACCGCCTCCGCGTCGTCGCTTCCTAAAAACGTCACCAAAACGTCCGCGGCCGCGGCCGCGTCGTAGCCGTCGGACGACGACGCGCGCCCGATCAGCGCCTCGAAGCGCGTCCACTGGGGCCGGTCCCGCTGGAACAGTAAATTCTTCAGCGCGGCCCGCAGCTCCGGCGCCTCGTCCGTCAGCAACCGCGCCGCGATGTACGGGTACGCGTCCGAGACGATGCGGAAGCCCGGGTCGACCTGGATCGCCACGCCCTCCAGCACGCCCAGGCACCGGATGATGGCGATGTAGAAGGGCGGCAGCGCGAAGGGGAAGGTGTAGAAGACGTCGCCGAGCTTGTTGATCACGTTCTTGACGTTTAGTTCGGACACGGGCGCGTCGAGCACGTCCGGCAGCGCCTCCTGGAGGCCGCGCACGATGGGCTCGACGTCCGTGCCCGCGGGGATGAAGCCCATGCGCTCGTAGAGCGCCGCGAGCGCCTCGAAGTCCCGGTTCACGAGGTGGACCACCGCCTCGATGATACTGACGCGCTGGCGCCGGTCGAGGTACGACATCATGCCAAAGTCGAGGTAGCACAGCTGGCCGTCGGCCGTCGCCAGTAAATTCCCCGCGTGGGGGTCCGCGTGGAAGTAGCCGCTCTCGAGCATCTGGCGCAGCGAGCACTGCACCAACGCGTCCACCAAACGCCCCGGCCTGTGTGCAAATCAACCAGTGAGCTGGGACGTCGGGGCCAAACTTCAGAATTCTCTAGCTCGGTCAAATCGAAGTCGATTCGGCTGATTTTTGGACGAATCGATTGCTCTCAGCGAGTTCTCGAAGCACGGCGGAAGTGCTCGTGTCAAAACATTCGAATACGCTCACATTGAAGTCGGGTTGAAGATTTGATTTGCACACAGGCCCCGGCGCGTCCGCGTCGCCCGACGACCGCACGAGCTCCTCGCCGTCGACGAGCCGCGTGCCCGTGACCCACTCCATGCAGAGCACGGTAGAAGACGAGTAGGCGCCGTAGACCCGGGGCACCTTGATGAGGTTCTTGCCGTACAGATCGCCGAAGCGCTTCGCGTTCTTCCGCTCCGCCGCGTAGTCGATCTCCTGGTAGATGAGGCGCCCGAAGTCGTCGATGACGGACACGAGATCTAAATTGCGGTCGAAGACGGCGCTCAGCGTCGACGTGCCGAGCTGGGCCCACCAGCGCAGGATATACAAGTCCAAGGCGATGATCTCCGCGCACCGCGGCCGCTGGACCTTCAAAGCGACGACGACGTCCTCCTTGATGAGGCGCGCCTTGTAGACCTGGCCGATGGACGCCGCGGCGATGGGCTCGGCCTCGAGCAGCTCGAAGGCGTCCTCGAAGCGATCCAGTCGCAGCGACGCCTCGACGCGCCGGAGCGCGTCGCCCGTGTCGAACTGGGGCACGCGATCCTGGAGCTTCTGGAGCTCCCGGAGGTACTCCGCGGGCAGCAGGTCGGGCCGGCTCGCGAGGGCCTGGCCCGCCTTGATGACCGCGGGGCCCAGCGAGCCCAGGATCTCCCGCAGCTCCCCGGCGCGCCGCTCCCGGAGCGACGCCTCGCGGCCCACCGCGCGGTCGCCGGCGA